TAAACACGCATTGTTTGCAACTGGAAGCTTATCACCCGTTATATCAGAATCGTCAACAACAGAGTATACAGATAAGGTGTTATCATTTAATTCCTTCCAAAGATAAACACTATGCAAATATCCACGAAACGGCAGTTGTAGTCTTTTCTGCTAGTGTTTTAAAACACAAATTTGAGCAACGTTATTTCGCAATTTCGATCTTTTGTAAACCTGGGGTGATGTATCAAGGTCTAAAGTAACCGTTTTATCAATTTTTGAAAAATCAAGAAAAAAGTGAAAATTTCCCTTCTCGCTACCTTAAAGTGATATTATTCAAGGCGAGTTCAGATAACAATGTGCAACACCCTACATCGGGATCAATAACGAACAACTAATTCGTAGCTAATGAGTATTATAGGACGGTGGTTGTAACAGCTGGCATAATCAGATGCATGCTCATTACCTTTCTGCGTAAAGAATAATTGGACAGCACTGAAATGACGGGGTTGTTGTTGTTTTTCTCTCGGTATATTGATTTTATAATCTGATGGCCCGTAACACTGTGTTCTGTTCGTCGCGATTCGGCGGGTGACTATAACGGAATGAGTCTTGACCCCTTGCTTCGCGCCGCGTGTCGTGTTTGATATCGAACCCATGCGACGTATGAAACGTAAGTACAATACACTGGTCTGTACAAAAACTTCAAATGTGTATTACATGATAACCACTGTTATATATCGATCTTATTTGATCCATATGCAACAACACCTCTCTGGGCAAAACGATTATAATAGAAGGGGATGACACAACACCATTACGGCAGCGAACAATTATCCCTAATTCAGATCATTGTACATTTCATGGCCAGGACTTTTTCATGTTAAATTTACCGTTAAAACATACACTTTTAATAACACTTCTATTATTGTATTTTATTGAAGTTCTTGGTAGATAAAAATCATAATTTTTGCATTTTTAAATCGTGCGAACTAATCGTATGACATAACTTCTATTATATTATACCAGTATATTGATGGTGTTAATCCATTGATTTGATTGGTCCAAACACAAAATGTGCATATGCAATCCATGGTATATTGGCTGATAATGCACGGCTAAACCAAGTGGCCCTGGAACATGAATTGACTACAGGTTTAATACGGAAATACATAAAACCGGTATTATTTGATTTTTAGGGAAATATAGTGGTTGAAATTTAGAAGAATATTGAAAAAAATACTGAATTAAAAACATCTGAAAAGTTATATAACTATAATATTGCTTTTTGTTAATGGTTGGATCCAAGTTGTGAGCGTCGGTCGTTGGGTGATTGTCGTTCGCCACACAAACCTAAACCCCCGTCCCTTAACACCGTGAGGTGCCTACACAAACGCTAGAACGCTATGTTCTCAGTGTTGTTACTTTGAGATGGATTGCGAACTTCCAACAAAGAAAACATGATCTTTAAGTACAAGATATAATTGAGGAATTTAATGACATAAAAATCCAAAAAAACTATGAGTCACAGGCAAAAATGTATGCCACCAATAACAACCGGTGTCCGGTACGGCAGCTGACACAATTGCAGTGCACCCGGGTAATTGACCCTGTTTCAAAAAACACGGGACAACGCAGGATTCGACGACGATATATGATATTGTAATTCTTCACTATGGGTAAATAAATTACAGGAGATGATGAAGGTAATTTCGAAAGCTACAGATTTGTGCCCAGTGTACACCAACCACTGTATTTAAGCGACGGCGTGCAAAGTATTTCGGCCTTAGTTGAGACAGGCATATCATGTACGTGTCACAAAAACGATGCGAA